CCTGCTCCGTCACATCTCAAAGGTGCTCCATTGGACTGAGATCTGCTCACTCTGGAATACAGTTACACTTATTATGAACTCATGAACTTACCTTAATATGCGTGAAACCACTGCACTCTGTGTATACTCTGGTTATGAATGGATGGATATGGTCAGCAACAATACTCAGAAAGGCTTGGTATTTAAATTTGGTACTAAAGAGCCCACAGTATACCAAGAAAATAACACCCACATCATTACACCACCAGCAACCTGAACTGTTAATACAAGGCAAGATGGATCAGTGTTTTCATGTTTACGCCAAATTTTTACCCTGTTGTCTAAATCTTGCAGCAGAAATCAAAACACATAAGTCCAGGAAACATTTTGCCAGTCCAATTCTGGTGAGGCCATGTGAATTGTATCCTCAAATTCTTGTTCTTGGCTCACATGAGCAGGGCCAGGTGTGGTCTTCTTCTGCTGCTGCCCATCTGCTTCACGGTTTGATACATTCTGTGTTCAGAGGTGGTCTTATGCATACCGTGGTGTTAACAAGTGGTTATTTGAGTTTCTTTTGCCTTCCTATCAGCTCAAAGTAGTCTTCGTAAACACCGGAGATGGTTGCGTGGGAATATTTCAGTAGATCATTGGCACAACCATGCCATGTTCAAAGTCACTTAAAACACATTTCGCCCCCATTCTGATGCTCAGTTTGAACTTCAGCGGTGGTTTTGATGAGGAGTTAAACAGGGGTACCCACTGAAGTGTATACTGGGCCCTCATTGGTGAAAAAAGTGTCCCATGTTTGTCCCTAGTGCTCATCCCTGAGGTAAAGAAAGTTTTCTTGTGGATTGACAGGATGAAAGGTAGATGCTATTTTGGTTTTGTCATCTTTTCTTGACTACTTTCTTCTTTTAAAGATATAAAAACTTTTCAGTGCTTTTAACTCGCTATATTGAACACTGTCACACACTCAGCGTGACTCAGCTTCAGCTCTGGTACCAGAGAGACTCCTACGACGAAAACCACATGCATTTTGAATGCAAAGCAATTCATCTTCCTTACAGCATTTTCCACATCATTGGTAAAACAAATCCCAGGTTTTTATGTGCACAGCGTGATTAGCATACTGTGTAATTTGATGCTACTCAATACCAAAAACCCTTAACACAGCACTTTGTAGTGATGCCAGGTTTTTAACGGCAGATATTAGACCTCCCAGCCTGAACTGTGGTGCTCTTCACATCAGGTAATGGCCTTGTCATGTAAATCAGAGCAACAGGCTGGATGAGATATAAAAGAAAGTCTGCAGGAGAATTAATTATCCAGTGAAATCCTCACCAGTCTGTGATGGACCTGCAAAATCAACTTTATGGAGTATTTCATTGAACGCATCGGTGTTCTCTGTAAACTTTGGTTTGGATGATTATGATTCAGACTGAAGGGACAGTTCAGACACAAACAGTTTTATCTTTCTGGGTTCATCTTGTCATCATCATTCCAGCAGTTTCATGGAAAATATGCAAAAAATAGGCCGTGTCACAGGTTTGCAGCTAAAGTAAAGACTGACAAAATATAAGAAGACTAAAAGATTCTGCATCCTGGCCAAGTTCTTCATCTTTATTATTAACAGTTCCCCAAAAAACACCAAACTCAGTAATGTGTCTGTCTTATGAATTTTTTCCATCTTCCCTGCCCCATTTGTGGGACTTAGCCCCAAAC